AAAATTTCAATAAAATCCCTTTTCTCATGGATGGTGAACATTATTGAATGTCAATTGTGAGTACATTGTTGTAGAACTGTCAGACAATTCCAGAAGAGGCTGCAGGCCCAATACCCAACTGCAGGAACTAGCAGTTATACCTGCCTGGAGGGTGGGTATTTCTGCTAGTTGATCCTGATTTTATTTGAATAATCATGTCCCATTACTCAAACTAATTTTACTTCATACAATACATTACTTTAAGTATCTCAAAGTATTCAGCATGAAAAAAAATTACCAATTCAAGAAATCCACAAATTGAGTTTCAGACAAGAGCAAAGCAGAAAAGAAAACTTTCCTAATAATTATGAATAAAAAGCTTTTTTTTTAACTGAGAAATAAACTAAGTAGCAACAGTAATTGTTAAGCAACTGCAATTTTCTTTTAGGAAAACTGTAAAGGAGGAAAGGAAATAATAATGAAAAACACCATATATTGATTATTTGTGGTATCTTACTTCAAAAAGCTACATTATGAATTATGTTAAATATTTAAAGTTAAGAGGCTGAAATTTGGCTCAAACATGCTTAGTATTAGAATGTGGAAAAAAGTTAGTGATCAAATATTTGTTTTACTGATGATCACATATTTTTACTTGTATGTTCTGGGATTACTTCCTATTTTCTTTTCTGTTTCTTTAAATATTGTAATATACCAATCAGCTTAACCTTTTCTCAGTATTAACCATAGCCTTCCTGTCAGTTTTTTTTTTACCCTTGGTATTTTTCTCATCACTCAGTAGCAAAGTATTACAACAAAATAATGAATCACATTTTTGTACCTTTCCTTACATCATATTAAGCAATGGACAGTTTAAAGGATACTATGAGAAAAACTACAAAAATATGAATTTCAGCAACTCTCAACAAATATCAGGAGCTCTAACAATACAGATATACAGAAACCATGCACTCACTAAGGACTTCCACAACAATATCTTGATGCTTGAATCTTCCAGTTTCTGTGACAATAGCTTGAATACGGTACTTCCCACCATCATCTTCGTGCACCTCAGATATTAAAACTCCTTTTTTTATATCAACTTTGAATCGAGATGTATCTAAAGGGATTGTTTCTGATCCCTCTAGTTTGGTCCAGGAAACTTGAGGTGATGGATCAGCTGAAACAAGACACTTTAGTTCTCCTGGTTGGTTAACAACAAGAGACTGTTTTTCAAGGCAGTCTTCCCAAGTGATGTCATCTGTCAGATAAAACAAATCAAGTACATACAAAAGCTCCACATGCAACACTACTAAAAAGAAATGTTTGGCTAAGTTGGAAGAACATTACTACAATAGCTAACAAGTGGTGTAATTACATATTTCATAATGTCATGAAGAATATGATAGTTTTAATCAAAAATACAAATTGTTGAACTTCAAGTTTTTCACCCAAACAAAATTAAGACTTCAGGATTTTACATTTAACTTTTTAAGCCATTAGCACATTCAGGCAAGTGACTATAACAGGTCACTAGTCCAGGGATAGCCATACAGTTTATTTTTCTCAAGACTTTTTAGCAACAAATACACCAATAAAACCATTAAAATCTAAACATTGTAAATAGCTAATCAATATATATAATCAACATAAGATACCACCACTGCAGTCTTCAAAACAACCAACTGAACAGTGTAATAGTGATGATCCACATAGAATAAAATAACTTTCTGATTGGCTGCTAAGTTACTTCCTTTTCTGTTTTTAGAAATAAACGACTTGAACAAACCAGCTTTGAGAAATCAATATCACTTTTTCACAAGCAAATCAGGTGTTAAACTATATCAAAAATAAAACGTACATAAAATTAAGCCACTAGCCCTATTGTTGGAAACTACTCTGAATGCATTTCTTACTTGTCCTGACCTATCAAGCTAGCATTAACATTGAACCCTGGACTTACTTCAATGGTTAGTAAATTATTACAGTATGTAGTTAAATTGTAAAAAGAAAAATATCTAAAGAAGTTTCATATTATCACAGATAGTCAGAATTATTTAATAATTCATTATATATGAACATATCTGGTAATTCACATGCATTTTTCAGTGAAATTTAGAATGGATGGAAAATTGATTTTTTTTAAATTAAGTAAAATAAATATGTTTTTATAGATCTGAAATTTAAAGTTCTTTAAGGAATTAATGAAGAACCAATAATTAACTAAGAGTCTTCATAATACTTACGGAAGAAGGTCACTTCAACACCAGTTTCCAAAGTTTCTGTATCATTGTATGTTGCCTTACAAGTATACATGCCTGTATCTCCTGTTTTGGGTTTCACAAACACAAGCGACAGTATATTTTTCATTATCTTATTGACTTCAATGTTTTGATCACTTCCACTGTAAAAGATATATGAAAAATGTATTAAAAATTCCTTCAGAGAACAGTTATTTGATTCCATTACACTACATTGCTGTTGTACATCTAACTCAGTAAAATTCCTATGATACTTATAAACTCCGTGATTAATTTACAGTAAAACAGAGAGAGTGCAATATTGTTTCAAAAATATGGTTCATGACTCACTGCTAAGTTTCTCTCATACATGGAAAGTTTTTATATTTTGTCATAGTCAAGAAAATATTTACACACTGCTGCTCTATTTAAAATAGTTAATTGACACTTTTTATACAATAAAAAAAAAATCCATACCTCAGTAAAAACAACTCTTTTACAAACATTTGTGTGTAACATGATAGGAATTTTGGCAATAAAGTTAGAAAAAATTACCTTTACTATCCATATAATAATAAAAATAGAAACAAACTTATTTCTGATAATGTTTTTACATTGCAGTTTCATCAGGGCTAGTTGTACATGAACTAGGATAAGAATTTAAACATTTGTTTTCTGAACTTTCAAAATATCTACAATATTGAATGTATTATTATTTGATAATCTAACTCGTAATTTTAGTATCTCCAACATTAATAATACCACAATTCATTCAATATTTCATAAAGACCCAAGATAATTTGTATGATACCACTACTAATAATTTGGTACAAACAAGGTTATAGAAAGCAATTTGACCCAATGAAATCACCCTTGATTCCCACAATAAAAATCATCAATAACTATATCAACAACATTCGAAATTTTGTATATTATTCATGAAAAAAATAACAGTTATGACTTAGAAACCTTCCCTGACCACTTCATTACTGTCCCTCCACACATACGACTTAAACTTTCTCCTTGAGCCTACAACATACAACTCTGCATGCTTAAGCTTTCAACATACAATACCCCCCCAGCTATCTTCCATTCAACACCTTTATCTCTCTCTCACACACACACACACAATAATCCAAGCCAATCACTATACAAGTGATCAATTTACCATCTTCCTAGGTTGGGTGGCCCTCAGGGATAAAAGAACCCCTACTTGAATACATACCAATGTGACAAATTAGGATGATAAGAAATCTCCACTGTCCATGACTTGAACTAATGCTTTGAGGTCAATGATCCACCAACTTATTTACTAGGAATCAAGTTCTAAGTGGATAACCTCCATCTTAACTGTTAAACAGTATGTAGCACACTATCATAAAAAGATTATTCCACAACATGATAGTTCTAATAGAGGAATAATTCTATCTGAGAATACGTCTGGTTCTAGGTTTTCTAAGTACATGCTAACTACCATTAATATTTAAGTCATCATTAACACCCGTATCTGTGCAGAGATAAGCAATATTTCAACATGTAGCCTATACAAATCCCTCACAAAATGTAAACATTGAACCACACTATGTTTTGTTCCTACACAATCCAGAGAAAACGTGCCAATATACAAGTCTTTCCTTTTATTTCCAATTTTTACAATCGGGTACCACTGTTGTAACCGTTATGTCCTTCCTTTAGGCAAATAGATTATCTTCATTGCTTACAAATTAATGCAATAAATATGCAAAGTACTTGATATAAATTTTGAATTCACATAACTCATACATGTAAATCTTGGAGACGTTATCCAAGTTCATAATCATCTAAAGTGTTTAGAATTTAGCCTCTGTACCACACTATAATTTCACAGTCACACCCATGTTCAATGAATAATTGTTCATAAATTTTCTTATTTTCTGGCTTAGTCATGTTAAATCAGTGGGTGGGCTATTCTTAACTTGTTAACATCATAAAAATGATCTGATTAGTTTGAATTTGCCCATTTTTCTGGCATATTACAAATCCTCTGCATATTAAAACTGCATAATTCAGTCCTAATCAAGCTTCTTAATGAGATCCTTTTATGGACTCATTTAAATATATATTGATTTTACAAATCAATCATTGGATAGCTACTGATATACTAAAACTCACTGAAAGGTCTCTTTTCAAACTAATAAAATTATGAATGGATTACTGGAAATTTTATATACATTAAAAGGCCACAGTATTTTGCATAGAATAATTTATGAAACTGTTCAGAAGACTAAAACCAACTAAAAACTAAAACCACAAAAAACTTGTGAGCATCCAAAGGAGTATGTCTTCCCCTTGTATCATCTAAAAAAGTAATCAATATTCAAAAATTATCACTGAAGTTTAAACATGGTCTACAAATTAAAGAAAAAAATGCAAGGCAATAGATTTTTACAGCAAAATACCCCCAACCTCATGCTCGTATACCCAGTCCCACAAGCCTATGCTAGTTTGTGTGAAAATTCCTCACCTTTGGCCCAGTACTTCTCCACTTGGATTTTCCCATTTTATCTCCGAGAACAAGCTGTTATCATCACTATCTCCTGTACAGGTGAGAGCAAAGCTTTCTCCTGCTGGTCGTGTTTGAGCATTGCCCAGAGGTTGAATAGAAAGTTTCACCTTATTCTTTAATTCCTGAGCAAAACAACCTTAAAAAACAAAAATGTCCATTAGGTGAGATTAATGAATCCACTACAGTTACAAAAAAAATTATACCTATATGAAAATGTCAAGGCAAAGAAATAACAATCTACAATGAATTTCAGTTCAATATAGAGAATCCTTCCACAAATTTATAACTTGATAATTAACAAGAGTTCATCATCATATGAAAACACATTAATTTAGTTCGGTCTTTCTACCTATGTCTTTAGTTTAAGTATTTTTTAATTCTTTCACATACAGACTTTATATTTTGCAAACATATCACAGTGTTTTGCAGACAAAAATTCAACCTACATAAAGACCTTACAAAAGTTTACAACAGATGGCAGCATGCACACATGTGTATGATTCTCTGGTAGTAATTCACTGTTCCTACAGTATTTCTTTGATGGCTTCTAGAATTTTTAAATAAAGAGTACAAAGTTGAAAATTAACACATTAGAAAGCAATGAATTATTTTAGCTCGCTGATATTTGAAACTTGCTCATTAATGATATGGCTGATGACAACTCATTCCACCATTTCTCTGGATTACTCTTTTACTGAATTCATAGCATTAATAGTGCATCTCAAATCCAATAAGAAATTACTTTCCGGTGAAAAATGACTTTTGAATCTAGTCTACAGTGTAAAATTTAAACTTCAACATTGTGCTTCTAAGAGTATTTATTCATTAGAAATTTTCGTGAAACAGTACTTTACATCTACAAATCAATGAACATTATTTCACACCTTATTTATTGTACAAGTAATACATTTACTATTTCGCGCAAAAAATAAAAAAAGGATTTATGATAAGCAATACTGATATTTTTGTCCACATATAGTCTGTTTTAAAATATTAGTACTATCATTCCTGACCTTTGTATCTTGTTAACTTACAAAGAACGTATAATTAATGAGCATTACATTACTATTAAAAAGCTTAAGTCATCAGAGTCACAAAAATATGTCTGGGCAACGATATAGGCGTGATGACATTCAACAGCTATCTCTTCGATTTGGTCATCTAATTACAATGGCTTGCATCTCCCCCTCCCTCCCTTACTTCGAGTTCCAGCTAACACTACAGGCTATATGGCTTTCCAGCTACCCCGCCATTATCGGGATTGATTTCCCTCGGTAACAGCGCTTAGAAAGTAATTTGTACTAGCGCTGTAAACCAGCAATTCTTTACCCCATTGCTTATCACCCAAGGAAGACGGTTACGACATTTAAAAGTATTGCGTATGACTTATTCAAGACTATTCTAAGTTTTCTAATCAACAGAGAAGAAATAAAAATAGAGAGGGACAAATACTACATACTTAATAATGAAGAAGTTCTTTAAAGCCACAAATAAATGTAGGTTTAATTACATTCCACCCACTCTTTAAATTGAGCATTTAGAGGCCAAAACTTTTACGAGAATAAATCAAATAGAAATTTTATTGGAACGTTGCTTGTTCGTTAACCATTTTAATTTTTTTCCCTCTTCACATCCCCCCCCCCTCTCGATATTACACTAATTGTTAAATGGTTTCCTTCACAGAAAGGCTAGAATTAAAATCCTTTAAAACACCTATCTGCATAATTTTTTAAGGCAAATGAACCTTTAATCGTAATCTAAATTTCTATTGTTCGCAGATTTGGGTATTGAATGGATCCATCGGATCATTAAATTTTTAATACTGAGTTAGGTAGTCACAGACAGATATTCCGGATCACAGACATTAAATATTAGTAACTTCCCCTTTCACAGACCAAATAATGTATTTAGAATTTATGAAAGAGGAAACATCGAGAATGCACTCGACGTTCAAACACTATGAGATATTGTAATAAAAATAAGAAATTGATCGCGCATATATATATATATATATATATACACACACACACACACACACACACTAA